AAAAATCTTATTTATTTTACACGGCCAAATGTTTAAAAAACAAAGCGTAAATGGAAATTTTTAACAAAGCGCATTAATATTTACTTTTCTAAGCAATTTTTTTAGAGAAAAAAAATATTTTTAAGATTTCGAAATAAAATATTTTTTAAGATTTTCTTTTTGTTCAAAAACTATAAAATGCATAATTTAGAACACCCCTAACGTTTTATGTGCGGATCCATTTACTTACTTGTGTGTGCTGCGTGATAAAAAGAATCCAAGCAATTTTAATGCTTGTAAGCGTATCAATTGACTTTCAGCAGCCAATAATTTGAAAATGCTACGAACGCCATGTTTCACATCGAAAGCAGGTACCATGGAGCTGGGATGCTCGGACATAAGCGAAATTAACATTTGCAGAACGTCATGAAGATTCTCATCCTGCGAAACGATTTAATATGTTACAGAAATTCAAGTTCTTGTTGAAAATGTGTGGTGTCTGAGTTGCTTCGAATTCGACTTACCTCATGCATGGTCGTCAAATAATTCAAAATGCTTTGCAATTCATCCTCCTTGACGCCATTGCCGATCATAATCAATTGTTTCAAAAACAATAGAATGTAAGCGCGTATCGCTAGTATATCCTTTTGTGCTGGACGTGGACCATCTGGTGGAAAATATAAAATGTAAAATTAAATTGTGGAATTAGTTTAGTAACTGTACACGAGAGTCTTCACTGGAGAACTCAATATCTCAAGCTTTCCGAAGAGACCAATACATAAATTATATGGAAAAATATTTGATGAATGACCGATATACAAGAATTTACATATTAGGTGAAAAATTGGAAATGATTATACAACTACTTGAGGACCTTTCTGTAAACTAAAGTAGTCTTACTAGAAGAAGGGACTCCAAAACCTCAAGGTTGCTGAAGAGAACAATATAAATTATTGTTGAACGACACTAGAATGAATTGATATACGGGTATCTGCAAATAATTAGGAATTCGAAATTATTATAGAACTGTTTGAAGACTCTTCTGGGTATTAACGAGTCTAACTAGAAGAGTGGACTGCAAACAAACAAGATGATAGTATCCAAAAATGATGTAAAGTTTAGAATTAGTATATAACTATTTGAAGACTTCGCTGAGTACCAATCTAGTCGGACTAGAAAATGTGACTTCGAAATCTCAAGTTTTCTGACGAAACCAATGCAATGCTTGCAAAAATATTTGAAAAATGTTTCCACATTGGAAGGATATTCGAGCATATACAAATAGTGTGTAATTTGAAATGATTTTAGAATTTGAAGACTCTTCAGAATGCTTATGTGGTCCTTGTGGTTCTTAAAAATAGCATATTTCAACCTTTTATGCTATAAAAATGAGTCTGTGAAGGGTATCACTATAATTTTGTTGTCTTTCTTAAGATTTTTTACTAAATTGTAGTAAATATTTTATATTAAATTTAACTACTGACGCGTGACAATTGACCAAGTTTTGACATAACCCATAAATATTTCGCTGACTGAAGACAAATGATGAATTTCTAACTTAAAGTTGAAGTAGATAACTTTTTCTACACGGGAATTTAAGTTAACATTTCATACTGAATCGTAATATGAACTATGGGTTTGTGACTCGTGACTTATGACAACTATATGACGAGGCAACTCTAGCCGCGTCTTCCCCATTTTTGTATGAAAAATTAATATTTTTCTCATTCTTCTGCAATCAAATCATATTTTTACTACTCTCCTCCACCAAACTACACACTCACCCAATCCCTTTGGTATGATGCCACTCTTCGTACGCGGATTCACAACCCAATAGTAGTATTTCAGTGTGTGCACTGTCTGCAGTACGGTGCTAACACGTCGCACATTGCTGTAGATTTGCGTATCGCTGAGGAATTCCGTTGCCAAGTAGGAGTACAAGCGCGCCTGCACATTGGCTGGCGTGTAGATCCACAGCGCCGGATTGAAGAGCACATGATCGAGCAGCTGCCACGTCAGAAATGAGAAACAGAACAGCTGCAACACATCGAGAGAACGCCAATTACAATACTGTTAGACACAATTGCAACTACTGAAACTGAAGCTCAGTAATAAGAACACTCAAACGGTGTATGCTCCAAACAATACAAATACATTTTGAAATATACATATATAAATAGTAATTGTATGAATATAAATTATTTGTACAAAAATTTATTAGAAAATTGAGTTATACATACATGTAAGGGATGTTTTGTTTTTGGTTTGGTTGTTGTTTATTATTATTGGTTTGATGCACATAACAACGTAGGAACGCAACGACATTACGATTGGGTAGTATAGTTAAGTTTTTTGTTTTTGTTATTGTTTTTTTTTTACATATTGGTTGGGAAACGAAATATCACAAGGCAGGGTAACGTAACGCAAACGGCATTCCAGAATTTGTTTTTTTTGTTTTAGTTTTCAATTTAAATATAAATCGTTTTCAACGCATGCAGCAAACAGCATTCACAAATGAAAATTCATTTTAAAATATGGAAAAGAAAAATATAAAAAAATATTTATGTAAATATATCGCTTGATGTATGATTATTGTTACAATGTTCATTAAAGTATTACTAATTTAGTAGAGATCGTATACAATGAGGTTATCTTGAACATAATTATGAGACTTTATTTAATGCATTCTACTTATGTACATATGGGTATATTGATTAAATAGTATAATGATCTAACTATATAGAAAGTAATATAATTCTAAGTCTCTTTAGCTAACCTTTAGTACTGCTTAGTATATACATTAAAATAATTATATAAACTATTTATAATTTTAAATTTTAATGAACTAGAGCCAGTTGAATTTGATCAGATTTATGTGCTACAGGGTAGGGCACTCGAAGTGTATCCAACTTCAGACCGTTCGCGCAGCTGTCGCACTGGAATCAGCTGTTTCTAAATTTGCTGCAGTTCGGTGTATTGTTCACAAGTGAACAAAAGCGTTTTGCCAAAAGTGGACGCAAAAAAAAGTGATCAGCGATGGAATTCAAACGTAATAGTGTGATTGCTTTATATTTAGATGGAAAATCACCGCCAGCAATTGTTCGTGAGCTCAAAGACCTTAATGTGAATAAATTTTATATTTATCGCACCATCACTCATTACAATGATACTGGTAGCACAGCAAAACGCCATGGAGGTGCTCATCAAAAGACTGCAACGTGACGTGAGATGGTTCGGAAAGTGAAGAAGAGACTTGAGCGAAATCCAGGAGAAAGTGCCAATCAAATGGCTAAAGAACTGAAAATATACGACCGCAGCATCCGACGCGTATTGAAAAATAAGCTGAAGGTCAAGTTCACGTTCCAAAAGGCTCATGATCTTATACCAAAGCAGCAACAAGTAAGAGTTGAGAGAGTGAAGCAGTTGCTTTGCTTAGCCGAAAGCGGTCAAATTCCGTACATTGTGTTTTCTGAGAAAAACATTTTTCCAATTGAGCAGTTACATTGAAAAGGTGCTAGGGATAAAAACACGGGATCTGGATGCAGGTAACGACATGTAAGTCTTAAGACAAGAAATATGGAACGAAACTCTGAAGCAATGTCAAAGCGGCCGCAGGACGGCTCGTTAGAGGAGTGTCTTTTAGTAACTATCTTAGCCAAAGTATGGGTAAAGCTCAAGGCTTCCTTAAATTACGGCGCAACTAACTGGATACGAAGACGAAAGTTGGCTGAAGACAGCAAATTGATCGTAAAAATGACTGAAATAAAAGGGATCAGATAAAATCTAGTACTAAAATCGGCAGTTGCAAGCTACTTGAAAGATATTTTCATAAAAGCCCAAAGCAATTGCCAAAGAGAGACTTGCACAGTCATAGACGATTGTCTATATTTGCTCCACTAGGATATAGGGAGGATCAAGGCTTTTTTTTAGAAATAATATCAATGTTAAACTACTTATTCAGCTAGTTTAATTATGTCATATTTATATTTCTGTGAAATTGCTCACGCCAACTCAAATATTGTTTGTATGTATATTAGGGTGAGCCAAAAAAAAATAAAAAAAAGTATCAAATTTATGTGTTAAAATGAATCATTTTAAAAGCTCTAAAAATAAATATTGTTGTGTATTTTTTTTTTCAAAGATTTTTAATTATGCAAATATTTGTATTGAAAAACAATGCGGAGAGGAATTTTTAGGCTCCACAAGAATCTTCAATGACATAATTTTATCCTAAACGGGTATTATAACGGTACCTGTCTAGCAGAAATATTTATTTCTCTGTAAAATTTAAACCTTTATTTCAATATCATTATTTTTGCTCACCCTAATGTATGTATATATGAAAGTATATTTATAGATTACGATTTTTGAATTTTTCGCAATTATTTAAATATCAAAATACATATTCCGCCTGGCACTTGCAACCACAGTCGTGCATGGCACAGCTGCAGGACATGCGAATGTCCTTCGCAAATCTGCCAATATGACGATTTTGCTGCCAGTTATGAGCATTTTGTGGAAAAGTGTAATTTTTGCGAGCACCATTGTTGTTACTTTTGTATGCTTAATTGTGTCTACTGGCAGTGATCGCTGTCGGCAGTCATTAAATATTTCTGGTTGTATGGGTGTGTGTCTACAAGCTGTTTTTTATTTCCTTTTCGTGAAGGAAGCATAAATTTTGAACAGTAAATGCATAAATCCGAAAAATTCATGAGCGAAATGCAGAGCACGCTATTTTCAAGTACAAGTGGTGTATATGTGTGTGTGCCAGCAACATGAAATTGCAAATAAAGCTGTTTGTGTGTAACTTTGCGCTTGTGTAAGTGCATATAATGGCGACCAGCAGATAAAATTCGAATGAGCGCAGTGGTCAATGGGTTGCACGAGCGCACGAAGCGGGAAAAGTTTCGCAATTAAAAACGCGTTAAGCGTTGCGCAAGCGAAAATATAATTTTTATATACACACATACGTACATATATACACCAATACATCTAAAGGCAAGCAATAATAAAGCACTGAAATAAGAATAAAATGAAAACGAGAGCAAAAAATATTAATATGCGCAAATCTACAAGCGCACAGCAACAGAAACAACAGCAAAAAACACCAGCAACAACAACAAATTGCTACCACTGCTGCCATAATTCAGCACTTTACGCGCCACTTTCCCGTTCAGCGCCGCCAAAAGCTGAGTTGTGTTGACACAAATGAAATTTATGAAACTTCGCCAGCGAACAAAATGCGCCAACGACGCATGGCAGGACAGTGTGGTGAAAGCGTACTCGTGCTGGCGTGTTGCACTCATGCAGCAAGGCGTCGGAGCGCGCAAGCTGGCAAGTTACTGCGCATATTGAGCTGTGTTCCCATAATTACTAACCGACATAATACTAAAGACGAGGAAGAAGAAGAAGCAGCTGCAGAAAATAAAGCGCGCCGAAAAACGGTAAACTTAATGCCGCAAAGGGAATTGATAAAACTACAACAAAAATAACAAGTCCAATCGTTGTTGCAACAACAAGTGTGTGAGCTTGCATGTGCTGCCGGTTGACAGTGATGCGGCATGGCAGTATCGTTCCTTGCAATATTGTCGATATTAACATCAAAATCGGCAGATAACTCATTAAACGGCCGAAAGTCGCCGTTGTTGAAGGGTTGGGGAAAGGAAATATACGCAGTTGCATTGAAAAATTATCACTATAATTACAATGGACATTGGTCGCGCGCTTATAAGGGACGGCTGTGGCAAGAACTCCGTGATTACGCGCGCATAAATGAGGGATAAATGTGCGGCGAAAATAATTATTGGTTTGCATAATTTGTTGCACGTTTGATTTCAGTGTGTTTCGAGATTAACGAAGGGCCGCGACGAGAGGGAGGCAAATAAGTAAAGATTTCTGACTGGAACAACGAAAAGTTAAGAAATTTAAATTTTGAGGGTTGTAAGGGTATTAAAGGTTTTGCTAATTTTTTTTTTATATTTTGAAAGTACTATTTTAGTTATAAATAAGGGCAATTAAAGCCAGAGGATGGCAGATTTAGTACTTTATAGATTAATTTTCGTTCCCCGATTGGATAAAAATGCAGGCACCTTGCAGTTTTATTGTCTAAAAAGTGATCTTACGACAGATATGAAAAGACTTGTTCAATCGAATGAAAATCTGGGCCTGAAATGTTCTTGTGAGAAATTTGGCAACAATGCAGAATTGTCTTATAGATTATTTTTAATGTCCCTCGGAAGTTTAGATATCCTATTCCATCGTAAATTTAAAATTTAATGTGGTTAGAGTTCGAAGCTGAATGGGAAAGTTATTCGAATTGGTAACTTCAAGCTTTCCATAATCTCTACTTCAAGTTCTATGTTAAGTACCTAATTTATTCGCTAAGCCTGGTCTGTATTATACATCCGGGGAACAAATTATCTTGATCGTATCTGATTTGATCTCTGTCCTTTCGACTTCTCCTTTCGACTTCTTCTTTTGACTTCTTCTTACGACTTCTCTATTATAATTATTATGTATATAACTATCAGCCAACTCAGAACTCTAACCTTCTGAGTTTGCCTTGGATAAGCAATCAGTAATCCGGCTGAGAAGACCTCGGTGATCTGCTTTGTTCGTATTGTTTACTGGTGAGGTTGTTACGTTTTAGACTCATGAACAGTTCCTCTGACTAAGTCACTATCCTACTTAGCAGGATGTTGGTCAGCATAGGGGTCCCATCTAAGGAGAGAGAAAGCTTCTTATGTCGACGATAATCATCGTCCTATTATACGAGCTGAGATCTCGACAGTTAAAAGAAAAACCGGCGTAAGGTGACCAGAGTGCATCGCACCGTAGCTCTCAGAGTTGTATCAGCCTACCGAACACTGGCGGCCGATGTAATATTAGCTAAAAGCGATAATGCCCCAAAGGACCTTCCGGCATATGAAAGGAAAAAGCTGTGGAAGCTAAAGAAAACATTCGAAAACAACAAGAGCGTAATTGGCCAAATAAAGAAAGACAAAATACTCGCATGGCAACGAAGATACCTTCACATAATGGAGAAAGTTGAAGAAGTCGAAGTCGTCACAATGATACCTTCCTGTGATAAATTTGCCAAAAATCCATAAAAATTCATATTTCTCTCAAAATATTTTTACGTCAACCTTGCAACTTCCTTGCAACACAACTAACCACTCCAACTCTTACCGACTTATATATGAGTCTGTTTAAAGCAATGCACATCGACAAGAGTAAAAGATATTTTGATTTAAAAAGCTTTCACATGTAAGCTCGTACTTGCATTTATGTATTCGCATTATGTACTCAACCATTAGCGGCGGCATTAACGTTGCCCAGCGGCAAAGGACAATGCGGGAAATGCACACGTGCCACACGCAGAGTTGCGACCGAGTTTCGGCGGATTCACGTGCTGCTGAGCAAATATGCAGACGCATCCACACAAAAATACACATACAATTATAAGTGTGTGAGTGCGTAGCTTAAAGTGTAAACACATCATTGCTCGCCAGCCACTTTTGCTGGCAAATATTGACGCAACGAAGATAGGTTTAAGAGCGTACATTATCGTATTAAAAAATATGCATAAAATTACGCGCTCTCAAGACCATAAATGATATGTACGATTTAATAAGTAATTTTAAAGTTACATAATATATGTATATATTGAATAATTTTTGAATGGAAATACTTTGCTTATAATTATAAAATGTTCCAATGAGCTACTGTTGAACTTCAAAGCGCTACATTTGCGTAAAATCCAACGAGATTTGCGACAAGAAAACTGCAACAATTTCAAATCTACTTACTAAATACGTATTTAAACCAAATTTTACACGAACTACAATTAATTACGACTCCAACATTAGTTTTACTTATAAAACGCATAATTTGGAAAACGAACAACTTAATTTTTTTGCTGTTAGAGCGAGCTCTCAAACTGTTTAGGGGGTCTAATTTAAGTGTTTGCCAATGCATGTTACCATCTTTACTTGCAATTTAAAAGTACTTTAAATATTTTTTAATAAATAGTATTAAAACTAAATTAATAAATCATTGAAATTAAAAAAAAAAAATTTTAATGTTAAAACGTTATATTGAAAATTGCCAAATAAGAATTTTT